GCCGAACACTAAGCAAAACCAAGCCATTCGCGAACAATAAGTATCTGGCTTATAACCTGAACTAGTCTTCCCTAGGCTTAGCCTAATTTTAAGCTTAACCGTAGCCTAAGCCGTCTTAGATCCTAAACCGGGCTAGATGCCCTTTCTTACCCAGTAAACTTTATTATTACAGTTTTTTGGTGATTAATGCGCAAGATTCCATATTTTTTTATTGAATTTCAGCTAGTATTTCGTATGTAATGATGGTGCACGTGCCTCGTCTCCGGCCCACCGCATTTGTTTCGTCAGCCAGACACAAAAACGGCCATTCCTCGTCCCGGCCAGCCGTCAAATACCCCCTCCCCCTCCTTTTCTTTCTTTTTTTTCGGCCGGCCCTGTTCTGTTATTGTTGTTTTTTAGAGCGAGAGGCGTCAACCTGGCCTTATTTTTCTATAAACTAGTCTGGATTTTGAAATTTAAAGCTTATAATTACTCAAAATTACGTGATCATTCATTAAAGGTTCCATTTTCATGAAAAAAAATATTTTTATTCTTTTACGGGGTGTATTTATCCAAAAATAAGTAAAAACAACTAAAAACATAGCTTTTCCTTTTGCAAAATACTTACTTCGCCGAAAAAACCAATTTTTTTAAACCGTATTAAACGCGTTTAATGAAGTTTTTCGAAGCCGTTTTTACGTAGTAGCACACCCATAGCCGATCGGTATCGAAAAATTAGCGCCGGGCTTTAAATTCGAGCTGTTCGTTCAAAATTTGTCAAAAATCCAACTTCTAGCGAAGTTTTATCAATTAACCAAGCATTTCATTGTCACCATTTTTAATTTTGACCGTAAAGTATCCTTTTTACTGACCTCATGCTCACTCAAAGCTTTGGAATCGCAACTTTTTTATTAGGTGTGACCTTTATCCCGATTAGAACCTTTTCAGAATTCTAAAGTATTTTTTAGCTTTTAGCTTACTCACCGATTTCTTTCCGAAACTCCTTCGAAAGCCTTCGCCACCTTTTTATTAGGTGCGCGACCTTTCGGCGGGCAAATCCTTTTAATCCACCGTTCTCCCACTCCCTGCCCACTATTTCGCGCCCTATCGCTTGCACAGGGGAGTCAGGGGGAGGGGGGGGGGAAGAGCGCGCGAATCCGGTGTGTGTCTGCTTGTGTGGTGGCTAATGTCAACACGGCTCAAAGAGAGAGGGACTCAAAAGGCGGCCAGAGCAAGCGTTTCACTGGCACGTTGGTGGGGTGGGTGGCTATTGGGAGGGAGTGCCCTTTCGGGGCAAGATGGCTCCCCCGGAAAAGGCTTGCCCCTTTTCCGGGGGAGGTTCTTCTTGGTTTGCTGCTTCTTTGTCTTGAAAAGGGGACGCGACGCGACCGCCAGGTTCTCTTCCTCAACGAAAACCCGCTCTATACAAGGGTGGCTTTCTATTTGGCGCGCCTTTGCAGCAGTGGGGGAAAGAGTCTGTTGTAAGTGGAGGGCGCAGAGTACAGCTAGGGACAGCGCCCCGTGCAGAGAACTGACTAGAGATTGGGAAGTGAGAGAGAGAGCGCAGAGAAAAGCGTAGATACCGCGTTGAGATAGAGGGGCTAGAGTAAGGGATCTCTATACCTAGCGAACAACGCCCCGTGCAGAGACGTAAACTAGAGACTGCGAAAAGAGAGAACGTCCAGACACCCCACCCCCTAGAGACAACGATTTTGTAAGAGAGCGCAGTGCAAAACCGTAGATACCGCGTTGAAATTAGAGATCCCAGAGTAATCATTCCGATACCTAGAGAACAACGCCCCGCGCAGAGACCTAAAACTAGAGACTGCGAAGATAGAGATACCCAGACATCCCACCCCCTAGACACAAACGCTTCCTAGGAGAGTGTAGAAGCCCTCCCTGCACCGGCCCCCCGAACGGGAGGGCGAAAATACAGGTGGGGGCTTGATTTGAGGCGCTGTGTTGGGAGGAGGCTCTTTTCTGTGTCCGGTGTCTGTGTGTGTGGAGCGATCGTTATTATATACCTCAACGGGGCCGCTTCGGCCCCCCGCGCCGCGCGCGCGCCAAGCCACTCCTTTCGCCCCCTAACAATAGCCCATCTCCCCCCCCCCCGCCACGGTCCCTAATTAGGCTTATCGGGGTTAATGTGTAGGGATATACCCTGGGGACACATCGATCAGGCTAATTGACGTGTGTCGCATTGTCGGGCTTTTCCCTGGGGATAGGGGGTTCCGGCTGTGATTAGGGGGCTCGTTTTGCAGCCCTTTGTTGCAGGGGGGTTGTTTACTAAACAACAGCTGGGGGCTCGTATTACCGGAATATGGAGGTGTTTTAGGTTTTGCTTACGGTTTTACATATTTTTAGGTTTTGAAATGTGTTTTGCCGAAGTTTGACGAAGCATGAAAATTTTTTCTATTGATTTTGAAACCCTTGAAAATCGGCACAAATTTCTATATTTAATCTATTTAATGCTTTTTGAGGCTTTTGGCTAGCTGTTAACAACTTTTTATAAAGCATGAAACTTTTATCTTCATAAGTTCTTAATGTTTTCGTTGCAGAACAGCTAAAAAAACTTTCAACTCCTTTAAAATCTGCAAAATTTGTTATATTTAATTCCGTTACGCTTTTTTCGGCCCTAGGTATTAACAACTTTTCTTTGAAAGCAGGAACTTTTTGTTGATTTTTTGATGATTTCGTTGCAAAAAAAAGCAAAAAAGACTTTCAAATTGAATTTCAAACAGTTGAAAGACTTTAGAAACGTTCACTTGGAGACGCTTTCTACTCCCAAATTTCCCGATTTTAAAACACAAGTGTTTGCGAGATAAAAAGCTATTTATGATAATATTTTACGAATAAAATTAGCGCCTCTCCCCCCCATCCAGCAGCAAGAATCCTGACTCGGGATTCCATAATGACCCCTGATCCCCTGTAGCTTTCTTGGCCGTTCCCCCTCCGCTAATCCTCTCCAACAACCACCTGCCAACTATCAAATTTTATGGGCTACGGGCTAAAAATAGGTCTTTGAGTGGAAATTCGGTTTAATTAATTTTGAATCATTTTCGTGAGTCTTCGTTTCAGTTTTAGAAGGAAAGCCTTACCTTATGCTAAACTTTTGAGCTTATTGGCGCTACTTTAGAAATTTATAAAAGCTTAATATTGGAAAAAACGGTTTTTTTCTTCCTCAAAGTTTAAAAAAAATCTCTCTCAACTGTTTTTTTACTATTCCTAAACGTAAAAAATTTAAAGTTTTGATAAAAAAATACAAAAATGGTTTGTTTATTCAGGCAAAAAGGTCATTTTTTGACCAAAATTTATACATTTTCATCGTTTTTTTTATTCCTTTTCCACTTGACATTTATTTTTGCCGTTTTTGGGGAAATTTTAGTTTCTAGGTTTTTTGAAAAATTAAAAAAATGTAAAGTTAGTCAGCGCTAAAAATTAGAAATTATCCGATTGTCATGCCCAAACCAATGCGCTTGATTAATAGCCGTTTCGAAAGAGGATTTTCATTGGATGTGGGGATGGGTGGGGGGTATCCATCCATTCATCCATCCGCGCGTGTTCCCTCCGATGGCTGCTCCCCGCTTTTCTCCCTCCTCCTTTCCAACCTACCCTCTGTCACATGAGCATATAACCTCGGGCCTCATTTGGGCCGATGACGTCGACGATTATCCCCACGCTAATTGTTCTTTTAATAGACGTTTTTCTGGATTAATTCGATCGATATAACCCAAAAGGTCCTACACAACGGAAACACCTTGGGGTTTTGAATTCAAACTACAAAATGTCATAATGTTTTTACCTTTCGTTGCCTTATATGGCTTGAGATTTACGAATACTAATTCTCGTTTAATAGGCATTTTAGTTGATTAATTCGATCCATATAACCAAAAAAAGTCTTGCACCATTAAAAGTCGTGGGATTTTGATTTCAAACTAGAAAATTTCACAATATTTTTTTTGGCTTTATTTCCGTCGGATGATTGCTACATTAATAGGATTTCTCCTCTTCTTGATTGTTTTCTACGGTTTTCATTCAAATAACATTAACGTTTAATCTTACGATGTTTGGTAATTTCTAAGGTTCAAAATGTTGTTTAATCCCGTAAACCATTCTGCTGTTCAGACTCGAAAATGCTTGGTTTTTCATTGGCTCGGATTTGCTGGCAGATTGCTACACTAATAGAGGAATCTCCTTTTTCTTCAGGCTTTTCTGCGTTTTAATCTAAAACAATATAATTCTTGGTACTATTGAAGTTGGGGGGCAAAATTTTTTTAGGTCATTTTTAGGCTACTTGATCAGTTTTTCGTGGCTAATCCAGCGCAATACTCAACTCCTAAGCTAAGCTAAGCCAAAGCACAGTTAAATTGAGCTTGAACAAAGCTAAGTCGCAGCCAAAAGCAGTGATGCTGTGACGAAGCCAAGCTTAGGGCCAGGTACTAAGGTTTAGGCTAAGCATAGGTCTAGGCCTAGGTTAAACTAGTTCTAAGCCTAGCCCAAGTTAAGCTAAAGCCTAAGCCAAGCCAATACTAAGCTAAGCTAAGCCTAAGCCAGAGAAAAGCTGACCAATTAGCCCAAAAATGACCCGAAAAAAATTTTGCCCCCAACTTCAATAGTACCTAATTCTTCAAAAAATTATTGTTTTTCATGCTTCTGAAGTTCAAAATCATACTGTATATCCGTCATTTTTTTCAGTGAATCACAGCGAATGATGCGCGAGTAAGCTCGAGCCGATGAGTCGCGAGGGTTTCCTCATCCAGACAAAACCAGCGACTCAAGACGGGCCACCGATTAATATGATTATACGACCAGCCCCTGGCGGGCCATCACCAACCACGGTACCAATTATACCTCATGCTATTAAGCTTTTTATTTTTCTTATTAAAATCATTTTTCTATTGTTAAACGAGTACGCTTTTTACGTTTCTTATACAAATTATTCCTCTAGAGTGCCTCAACCTCCTCGACCCAGCCGTCCACCTCCACCCCATCCACCTCAACATCAACCCAAATGCAGTCGAATGGGGTTGGGACGCCGCGATCCCAGATACGGCTTGTACCCCTATACAACGGCAGGTATGTAACACTTCTTCTGCCTTCAGCCGCGTACTACGCAAGCGCCTATTTACGTCTGCATCTTTCGTATACGTAGCATATTTTTCAAGGTAATCGCTATCTATTATTTTTTTCCAGGAGACCGCACGGCTCAAACCATCCCACGCCAAACCTATCGCATCAAGGGCGGCGACAAGTTACCACAGGTTTGTCGGCATGGTTAGAAATATGGGGTCTCTTGGCTCATTTTCAGGAACTGGCAACTTGCCAAACCTCAAAAGGGTTTGATTACCGTCAGAATCGCGGGGCCAAAGTAAGCCACCGGGATTGGGGGAGGTTCTTAGGTTCTTTTGCATTATAGGAGGGTGCAAAGTTACCCCTATACGTGCAAGCGTTTAGTCGCGTAATATCACGTATTTTGATAGTTTTTAGACGATTTTGCCATATCGCAAATGGAAAACCAATCTAAAAACGATAAGGAAATTGAAAAAAAAAAATGAGATTTTAGCCCCAAATGCGATTTTTGCATTTTTCAATCGAAATTTGTGAAAATTTTATTTCAGGATTTGAAAAAATAGTGTAAAAATAACTGCCGTATTTATTTTGGAAATTTTTGCTAAAAAAACTTGCTTCCCCGATAATGCCAAAGCACCGCTGAACACTTTTGAGAATGCTGGGTTCTCCGGGGTTTTTTTTTTGGGAGGTTTGGGTATTTCAGGATTTGGGGATTCACCGCTAACCAAATTCTTACGTGAATTTACCTCCTAACCATTTCAGCGTCTGATGAAATTGTACGACGGGCCGGCCAGTTGCAGCGGTGACGTGATCAAGGCCGGCAACCTCATCCTCAAGCCGACGCCCTCATCCGGACATCTTCGCGTCGTCGCCGCCGCCTCGTCGCATCCGACCACAACCCAGGCGCCATCACAAATCATGCAGGTGGGTGTCAATTTTGCAGCCCTCGATTTGTCCCTATTTTCATTACCGAAATCCGGAAAACCGGATCCCCCTGTGGGGGCACGTAACCCGGGCGACCCCCGCGGTCCCTCACCAAAAAAATGTGTTCCTTACAGCCACGCGCCGAGGGCTCGCCGCTATCACCGCTCGGGTTTTTGGCAAAAAACACAGCTACATACACCCAGGTTAGTGGCAGACAATTTCTTTTATATCATACTTTTTAAAGATAATTTTTAAATATGAAAAAGTGCTTTCCGTTTAGCAGGGAAACTCCATTTTTCAACACTCCTCGATACGGTCATAGGGCAAAAAATAAGCCATTGCTAAAGGATTCTTGCGGCACTGTTTTGAAATAGAATAACCTCAACAAAAATTATAAAATCTTTGCAAGAAATTATGAATTTTGGTTATAAATGTGTGAAAATCGACAAAAATTTCGGCATTTTAATTTTATAAAAAATACCAGGGTTGAAAAGCCGCTTCGCGGCTTTTCAACCCTGGCCCCGTCTGACCCCGTTTTATCCTTCACTTTGCACAATTTTCCTGAATTCAGATGACCAAAAAATGAAAAACTACCTTTTAAACCCCTTTATATAGTCGAATCCCCACTTCCGGTCTACGCTAATTGTTCCTAACAAAGATGTTTTTACAAAAACTTAAATTTAATGTCGAAAATAGGTGATTTTGTTAAATCTGATATGCGTGCAGTCATCTCCAGGCCATTACGCATCTAATGACGTATCATACATACCTTAAAATTCATCCCCTATCGAGATATCCTCCGGACAGCCATCCGGAAGTGGATGCAAAGTGGCACACACAGACACACACACACAGACACTATTTTTTTATATATATAAAAAATATAAAT